TTCTAATTTCAATTTATATCTGAATAATTTTGATGCTGCTTGGTGCTGTGAAGTGTGGTGGTAAGGAATCAACTTGGTAAGATGCATCGGGGATCTCACTGCATTGGAAGAGTGTATAAGGTATGTAATGGCCCCGTGCTGTCATGGTAAGCTTTGTTTCTCAAAGCCATGAGGCCTTTCAAGAATATTAGAAACATCCAGGATAGTTAGTGCCAAGGACAGGAAGACTGATTTTTTTCTAGATTCCTAAAAAATCATATTCATTTATATATTTATCATGCACAAGGAAGACTCCTATTAACAATATGTCTTCTAGATTATAAGCTCCTTCCTTATCCAGGATACCTCAAGCCTCCAGTCACAGGAGTTCCCTCACTTGTGAAGATGAGAGGTCATGGTCAAAAGTACATACTGTTGATTCCAGGAAGACAGCCATTCCTACACATCACAACTGATTAAGACCAGATGCAGCACATGTGATTTTGTGAAAGATGCACTAGAAGTACAGTATCTAAAATAGTGTGAAGGAGAACACTATTCTATGGATGTCAAAAGTCTTAGAGGGAAAGGACAAAAGCAAGGACATTTGTTCTGACTCTAGGACAAATGGACAGAGGGGACAATGGCAGTAACAGATGTTCCAGTAAAGTTGAAAAATCAGTTAGGATGTAGGGTCAGTTACATTAAATGATGAAAATAAATACATACTCTGTAGATGAACCAAATCATTCATATCTTACAATCTTTTTAAGTTTCTTTGGTAGATTGGATGATCCTCTAAATGGGAATCTCTGTAACTCTGAATATAATGTTTTGTATGAAGTACTTTTTGAGTCATAATAAGTAGCAACCAATATGGGAATTACTTGTCCATAAAGAAAATAACATTTTTCTTCTAAATCCAACCTCGGGGAAAATATATTATCCCTGAGTTATATAAATATGTCATTATTTTCGTGCAAAAAGTCGTATTAAAACAATTATGGCTATTATACAATCATTACCATTATTTGGTATAATTTGCATTGGCTAGAAAAGCAGGCAACTTGAAATTATATACTAGTTTATAGCAAACAGTCTCTAATGAACACTAAATAAATCAAGATACAAATTGCAGTTAAACCTAATTGGTTGGCTATATAGGGTTTAAATTTTTTGTATCTCTATTTTATCTACCTTTGCTTCTATAGATTCTATTGAAGGCGGCATGCTAGTGAACACCCTAGGGGCTCTTTCTGCTTTTAGAGAAATCCGAGTTTTAGTTCTGGATCTGTCACATACTGCTTTTCACTTTGGGTAATTAGTTGAACTTTGTGTGTCTGATCTTTGTTTCTCTCATCTGTTATATCAGGTCAATAGCTCTATTTATAATTTGGTTTGAATATTAAAAAGTATTATGTAGGTAAAACGTACAATGTAAATATTAGTTCCCTTCTCACTTTATACCCTTTCTCCCTATTAAATGGAACCTAAAGATCATGATTTTTCATTTTGTTTCATTAAAAGTGTGCAACATGATACATATGAGAGAACTTTTTTAAAAAAAGGTACTTTAGATGGAAAATAATTTTCAATTAACTGATTAAGGATTTCTCTGCATTTTATAATATCAATATAAAAACTTATATTTACATCATACATCTTTTTTCTGTATCCTCAATTGTCATGTGCAGCCAGAGGAGGAGTAAAAAAAAATCTAGATTTTTAAAGAGCACATTCAAATATATCAAACTCATTTTACTGATTTTCTAGTGTCTAGAGGTGGGGCATGAGATAAGATAGGTGGATGTTGATACCAAAGAAGTGAAACTCACGTAAATCTACATTGAGAAAACACCATGTCTTCCAACTTGAAGTACACTAGAACCTAACCCAGTGCCTCTTAAACGTGTGTTGACTGGACCCCCCCACCCTCAAAAAGGATCAGGAAAGAGGGTAGGGATAGGTCAGGACAAGTCTATACCCAAAATTCTTAGTGAAGGCATATTTAAGGTTCAATTGTGAAAAATATGGGCTGCTAGTTATCACAAGTAGAAAAATACTTAACGTAGCTAGTGATTATGAATTATTTTAGTACCCTGGTTGATAACCTCCCTTCTTAACAATTCCCCAGTGGGGTAATGGGACTAAAACGAATTTTATTGGTGTACTCTGATTTCATTTCATGACATCTTGAACATCTAAAACATGTCACTCCTAGGGAAAGAAATATGGTCTACATTGATCACTGCAGACTCAGAGGCCAACTATATTGCTTCCTCTAGACTGTGTGAATATTCTGGGTTGATATTCTCTTCTTGGTCTCTGAAAGATTCTCTTAAAGCAACAAATAAACTCACAAGTTCAAGGGAGTGGAGGGTGAACGACTAGATAATTATTTTACTCTGAAATAATTCTCAATCCTGTACATGAGTCGATGTCACTGTTTCAAGTGTGTTCTAAATTAATTTTCAACATAACTGTGAGAATGAACATGTGTGCATATTTGTAACTTTGTGTAGAGCTGTCGCCAGCCATGGCTTTGAATTATTATGTGCTTTGAATGTGCAATTTTACTTCCCTTTCTTTTTCAACAATTTAATATACAGTGTTAGAAATGAAAAGTTAATGAAGATGACCGAAGGCCAACAGAACAGATAAGAATCAGTTTTCACCTGACACAAACCTCATCAATACATAAATGAACCTTCTTCCATGGAGGAAGGCACTGGAAGGCATCCACCAGCAGGGGACAAAAGGACTAAAGCCTTGGGCCCAAACCCCACTATCATTACTTTGATGTTTATTTCCCCCGGGATCTGATATGTATATTAATCTAAATACATATCCTCAGAGAATTGAAGGCATTTCTTGGGAAATGTTTAAGATTGGGGAGCTACTACACAATTTATAATGTTGCGTTTCTTATGACAAGTCAGAGTTCTATACAAAAGCACTTAATAATATAAAAGTAGCTCATTCAAGACTCAAGATTGGGCAAAACTAAATTAAAAACGGCCATACACTGCCCCATTTTGCCTGATTTATTTACCTATGGTATTGGCACAAGTTGCTTTATTTAATATTTAAAAAAATACAAATTCCTCTTCATCTGCAAACAAAATGAATGCTAAATGAAATATAGGACTTTATATAGCTTCCTAAATATGAGCCACATGCTTAGCCAGTGCATAAATTTTACAAATCAAATCCTTAATGTTAATTATCACAAAAGCTTGGTGTCCAGGTGTAATCTTATAGGAAATAAGAAACCATCTGCCTCCACTGCAATTAAAAAAAAAAAAATGAACAGCAAATCCCTTTTGACATCTTAAGAGTAAAATCACTTCAATAATCAAGCACTAAATGTTTTTCATTAATCATACTCTTAATTTAAACTTCAGATTTACTGATGTAAATACTTAATGACTTTAGCCCTAAGGCACAAATTCTTTCTTGTTTAAAAGTACTGTTTTACTCTAAATGGTATTTATAGTTCTGAGTGCACAGTAACTATCATACGCCTGAACATTCAAGGGTGATTCAGATTCTCAGATGTTTTAACATCGTTACGAAAATGAGAAACTGCTAAATTAAACCGGCCGGCAACGGGCAATGTTGCAGGCCTCTTGCTATCCTGTGATAAACTTCACAAGTGTGTATACGGAGTCATGAGCAGCCTCCAGTTCTAGAAACCTTTTCTCACAGTCTCCCAGTTACGTTCCTAGGTGGCAGAAAGTCTCATCAGGAGGGGGTGGGATTTCGAAGTGAGGCCATTCCTTATAGCCTGAGGAATTTCAGTGGCGGAGTGAAAAGCCTCTTTGGGTTTCTGGGTGTTTTGCTTTTGCATTTTAGGGAGGGGTGAGAAATGACAGAACTGGGAGGCCTCAGTATAAGCACTTCTCACACTCAGTCAGCTTTACTCAGATCATTCATAACAGTAATCCTCTGACCACGGTTATGTGTTGGGAAAAATTAGAATTTGGCCTATTTGTCAGCCTGTCGACCAGGATTCTGGTATATTCCATTTTGAAGTCTCAGTCTGACAGTGAGTGTAGACTGAGTTCTGATTAAAAAAAAAATCCCTGGTTATTACTTTCTGGATTTGAAACTAAATCCTTTTAAAATCAATGAACGTAGCTCATTGCGAACAGTCACTTAGGCTTTTAATTTGATTTACATATGAAGTAAGAATTCTGAAAATTATTTGAGAGTTCTATTCTCTAGCACCAGGTACTAATGACCATCCTCAAAGAAATCACGTGCATGGATTAATCAAATCTAACAGTGCTCAGAAATAATGGTTTAAAATGGACTTTTTTTTTCAAATTTATTTTATACATGCAAATTTTTTTCATGCAGTTAGTTGCATTTTCAAATTAAGATCGTTCTCATTTTCACTGATGTTCTTATCTTTAAAATTCACATTGTAAAGTAGTGTGCAGATATAACAGATTTCTTCATTCTCAGTGGATTTATTTTTAAAGTTAAAAAAAGTGATAATATTTTTTTTGAACCTACTTGTCTTGTTCATTGGATACTCTGCACGTGTGTACATATAGGTCAGTGTGTGTGTGTGCGTGCACATGCACACTAGAAGAAAATTCATTTTCCTTCACTTCCGTTTAACACTAAAAAATGAAATTTGGACAGGGTATTCTTATTGGATTAAACACACGCCTTCTAAGTACTTAAACCAGGGGTTTGCGATTCAGATCTCTATAACCAAGACTGGAAGTCACTGGAAGACTTTAAAATTATTTTAACCGTGACAACCAGAGTCATGTATGGAAATAAACCCATTGCATGGATTCCTTCTAGGCATAATCTCAAAATTGAACTATCCAAACAAGTGTTAAAAAACAAACCTATAAAAACCCGCCATCGAGGAAAATCTCATCTCCATCCTTCATTATGACTCCTCATTTCAAGTAAAAACTTTCCCAATTTTTGAAAAAAAAAAAAAAAAAAAACAACTCCTAAAAAAGTCATAAACACTGAAATCAGAGATGTGATTCTTGTTAAATATTAGTTTCTCTTTCGGAGGAATTATTCTCTGTTCTTGTACTTCTGACATCAACATCATGGTGTTTAGATTTGTTCAAGGGTTCAGACTCTCTGGACTCAGGTGTATGCAGTTTCTTGTTCCTTTCTTCTTCCTTCTTTTCCTTTGCAAGCAATCTGTAGTTTATGGCGTTGCCGATGAGCAGCCACACACTTGAGAGGAACACAATAGCGCCACAGGCAATATACATGTATTTATACTGTCCAGTTTGATCCACCAATTTACCTAACAGACAGAAAACATCTTTTAAGACAGCATAATAAAACAGCTATAAAATTATAACATTTTCCAGTAAATTCTTCCACAAAGTATGTACCCATTTCTTATTGAGGTTAATATTGCATGAGCTTTTAACAAAAACTATTCTAGATTATGAATTCTATACATGCATAAAAAAGGCATGTATGTACACATAGAATTATATTACCAGTATATTAAATTTAAGGAAGATTATTCCCCTCAATAAAAATGTACAACCAAGACAAAATAGGTATATATCTGTTTGTGTGTATATTCATAAATACACGTATGTGTGAGGCATGTTTTTTGTATCTGTGTGTCTACAAATAGATATACCTATCTATTAACTTTTATACATGGAGACTGCTTCATCCTTCCCATGCTTCTTTTCAATAAAAAGGAGAAATTCACATTTTTTAGGAAAGATCCAAAGGCTTTTTTTAAAGGTTCTTGACATGCCATAATATTTACTCAATGCTTTTTCTATGCCCACTACTAGGCTAAACACTTCTTTTTTTTTTTAAGATTTTTTATTTGTTTATTTGAGAGAGAGAGCAAGAGAGAGAGCATGGAGGTGTGGGGGGGAAGGGAGGAGGGAGAGGAAGAAGCAGACTCCCTGCCTAGCAGAAGCCTTACATGGGACTCAATCCTAGGACCCTGGGATTCTGACCTGAGCTGAAGGCAGAGGCTTAACGACTGAGCCACCCAGACCCCCTTAGGCTAAACACTTTTAAATGAGGTTATAGCTCATTTAATTTTTACAAGATCACTATGAAATAATTTGATTATGGTTACATAGCCAGTGAGTGGCAGAATCTGGAATCCAAACAAGGTCTGTCTGAAACTCAGATTCTTAACTATTCTGTAAAAGAGCTTTACCATACCTCTTGGTTAAGAGTCATATGATAACTTTTAGGGCTAATCACAATTTTTAGTTTATCTGAATCTAAATTATTAAGGCCAGACAAATCAGGAAGAAAGTATTTATTACATTTGATTATTAAGAACATTTAAAAACTAGCCTGATACCATATAACCTGAAGAATTATTGATCTTTTTTTTTTTTCCCCCCGAGAGAGAGTGAGAGCAAGCATGGGTGGGGGGACAAGCAGAGGGAGAGGGAGAGAGGGAATCTCAAGCAGACTCTACACCCAGCACAGAGCCTGATGGGGTGCTTGATCTCACAAACTGAGATCATGACCTGAGCCGAAACCAATCATTGAACACTCAACCAACTGAGCCAGCCAGGCACCCAGGTTTACTGACTTTTAAAAATACTTCAGTTTATACTTAATTTTGCTTCTTGCTTATGCAGGTACCTAATTCTTAACAATGATAGTATATGCAAGTCCGTATTATTTATTATATGCATATTCTAGGTGATTCTGATATAGGCCTGATTCTTTAATTAGAATCTCATTTATTCTGGCTAGAATATAAGTTAGTGGCTCAGTATTAAATTTAGCTACTTGTGAAATTGCCTATTTGAACAAAGTTCTCTGTTTTAATCAGTTAAATGGTGGAATAGGTTTGAGTGTGCCATATACATAAACATAACAAAATGCATAATTTAAATTTCCATTCTAGCTTTAGTCAATTGTTTTTATTCATCCGATGATTGTTATACTTCTAAATACATAAACATTAGGTCTATGGCCCCATCAGAGTTAGTATCACTTTGGGCTGCCATATCAACATACTTTCTAAATGTCTGGGGAATTTATTTTAGCATCATCAAGAAACCAAACACGACAGCTATTGTGAGCGCAGCAGTGGAAGTTTGAGCTGGATACATAACTAAAAATCATACCCTATCTTCCACTCTGGCTTTACAAACAAGAGTAGCAGCAACAGCAGCAACGGTGTGAGAAGTAACGACAATGATACTCATTCATTCAAACGTATTTACGGAGTGCCTACCACGCGCCAGACCGTTCTATCAGTGTTCAAAGGCTACAGAGAAGAAGCCAGTCCAAAAGTCAAGGAGGATCAGGGATACCAGAAGACAGAAACAGGATGAAAAAAAAAATGGATTTATTATGGCTATGGCCTGAGAACTTCAAAAAGGAGCCCCAAATGGATTCTTGCCATTGCCAGCACTTGTGTAATGGTTTGGCAGTATTAACACAAGAAGCACTCAAGATCACTGAAACTGATATAAATGTTACTAATACAGGTTCTCAGCGCAGGTAGGAACATTCAAATCAGATGCCTTCATTTTCATTCTTAGAGCCTACTCACTATGCCTGATGACCTGATTTAATTTTTTTTTTACTCTCACCACGGCTGGTGAAATACAATATTCTCCCTTGATACTAAAAATTTTGCCGCTAATTAATAGGCTTCTAAAACCCATTTAGTAAACTAATTCTGTAGGCAAAGACAGGTCAATTATAGTTGTCTTATGCAACAAAATCAATTAGCTGATAAACAAGACTAACTTTCATTCCTTCTGAAAATTGGTTTGGTGCCATAGTACAGCCAATATTAAAAGATATACCACCCAAAAATATTAAAAGATATACCAACATCTGTGCTAGATACAAGACAGCCCTCAGAGATGAAAAAAATTCAGTAGCCGCTCAGATTTTAAGATCTGAAATATTTTCAGTGATGCCTATGAGTGGCAAGAATGCCACTAGTTCTTGACCAAGTGAAAAAGCAAGGTAGAAATTCAATGATACCTAAAGATCAACAAATTAAATACAAGGTTTCCCAATTCAAAATTATTTCTTGATGTATGGAATTGCTGAATCACTATATTGTTCACCTTAAATGACTATAACACTATCTGTTAACTATACTGGAATTTTAAAAAATGATACCTTGATGTCATGTAGGGAAGCAGTTTAAAAACTGGAAAAATTTACATTTAACCTGGCAGTTAATATGACCACTAGGGGTCCGGCCAAGAGCCTAAGTGAATACCTAAGCTTAGTATTAACCAAAACAATGTACTGGAAAATAATGTTTTTTTTATTTAAATGTTCTAATGTTTAATGTTTTAATTTAAATTAACTTAATTTAATTTAATTTATAACATTAAAGTCTAAGACTAAACAAAGTCTTAGCTTCAAAAATGCACTTCTACATTTAGCACAGATACTTTATAGGCATCACTGAAAATATTTCAGATCTTAAAACCTATAGGTACCCACTATAATTTTATATATATGTTATATAATTATTTTATTTATATAATATAATTTTTATAAAATAATATATTATATAAATATATAATTTTTATATTATAATATCTCAGATCTTAAAATCTATAGGTAACCACTATAATTTATAAATGTGGAATGTATCTGTTCAAAATGAATTTCTTTTCCATACTGCATTTCACATACATATATATATGAGTATATATATATACATATATATGGATATATATATATATTTCTGTCAGTAATATTATAAAAGCATTCTATGCTTAGGCATGTAAGATATTAATATAACCAATGTACTCCAATTAAAAAATAGATCCTGACCTTTAGTAGCATTATTTTACACTTTTGACTCATTTTAATATAAGCAGAAGAGAAACTTGTTAGTCAATGATAGAATGAAGAAAAAGTGGAATTTTATTATTATGACACAATTTTATAAGCAGAAAACAATTGCTATGGGTAAAAATATGCAAATTATGTTACTAAATATCAGTATAATTTAACTTCTTAAGTTCACAGGTCCTGGCTCTGAAGCAAATTTAGGTCTAAGATCAACCATTTATGAAATTTAAAAATACATACATAATAAAACCTAAAATTAACACACCCACAGTCTTTCAGGCTATTATTACTTATTATTACAAGCCCCATCATATGCTACAAAGAAATGTCCTGGCTAGTCGATATTCATTTTTTGCTTTTTGCTTTTCTGGATGAGAATTATTCTTACCAGCAAGAGGAGGACCAAGGAGAACGGGGCAACACTCCACCACTGTGACAAGTCCTACAGCGCTGGAAAACCTTTGAGGGCCAACCAGGTCCATGAGAGTTTCAAAGAGCACGCTGCTAACACTCCCAAATCCAAGACCAAAAAATATAGCATATAACACCAGACTTGTGTAGTCCTCTGCCAGTGGGCACAAGAGATGGCACACTCCAGTGAACATGATTGCAAAACTGAAGAAATACTGGATTCGGGGGCGGATAAGTTTAGAGTTTGCAATGAGTCCTCCAGCGGGTCTAGCAAACATATCAACAAAAGCCATAATAGACAGCAGGAAAGCTGCAGAATACTCATCAATTCCTTTGTCTTTAGCATATGGAGCCAAGAATATAATGGGGGCAAAAAACCCTAGAAACATAATGACATTTCCAGATAAGTATATCAGAAATCCCCTATGCTTAAAAAGGGAGAAATCTAAATACATATTGACTATCTCCCATGCTGATTTCTTCCTATGGCTCCTCACACCTGAGTCATCCACTCCTATGCCAATGTTATTTTTAGACTGACTGGCAACTTGTTTGGGTTCAACGGGCCTCATGAGGGACCCAGCCACACAGGCATTCAACAGTATACCCCCCAAAATCAAGAAGCTTCCTTTCCAGCCGAAAGTATTGAAAAGGTACTGATTGAAAGGAGCCAACGTGCTTAAGAAAACAGGACTTCCTGCCATGGCGAGGCCATTAGCCACGGGCCGTTTCTTATAGAAGTATTTGCCAATGATTGTTAGGGCAGGTTGCAGGTTGAAGGCTAGACCTAAACCTAAAGAGAACAGAAAAAAAGGAAGAAAAACACAAACACATTATGTCACTCACAAAAGGAATTACTCCTTAAAATGTACATTCAAGTGGGGAAGGCAGAACTAAAAGTGCAAAAGTGGGTAGTAATTTTTGATGATTATAAATATCATGGAATTGTGCATAAACAAAGAGGTTCCCACAACTGGACACCCTAATACATATGACAGCTTCACAGGCCTTTCATGTGAAAGCAGAAAAATAAAACCAAGGACATCTATTGATGTTTCCATAATCACAGAATAGGTGGAAATTAGGATGAAATTATTAGTTCTTAATTATAATCACTTACTACCACAGATAAATCAATCCTCTTTAGGTACATAAACATATATATTTATATGCATTATATTTACACCACATATATAGAATAGATTTCTTCCTTGTGGCAAAAGTACATTTAAAATGTGAACACTGTTTTTTTTTTTTTTTTTCCAAATTTTATTTATTTCTTTGACAGAGACAGATCACAAGTAGGCAAAGAGGAGGAAGCAGGGTCCCCGCTGAGCAGAGAGCCCGATGCGGGGCTCAATCCCAGGACCCTGAGATCATGACCTGAGCCGAAGGCAGAGGCTTTAAACCACTGAGCCACCCAGGCACCTGAACACTGTTTTTTTAAGAGTGGAACAGAGGGAACAGATTAAAAAGGCTGTCATTTATGAAAATCTTAGGTCTCTCCACAGGTATTTCTTTCAGAACTGTGCAAATAATAAATAAGAGGAATAAATTAATGCCATTAATGTCATGCTCTACATCTTTCATGTTCCATATTTCATGAATATAGATGCACATGTGTACTGACTGAAAAATAAATTTTTTGCTTTAAACCTTTTATTTTAGGGATTAAAACTAATTCTTTATATGATTCAAAGGTCCCTACTATTCCTACCGATTCCAATGGAATCACTTGGCAGTGCTGAATGTCACCTATGAGAGAGGAATTATTTCTTATAGCTTGTCAAAGTATTATTTAGCAATAGTAATGATTATGTTTGTTTAAAAAGCATGTAAAATTGATTTAGATCAATTTAGATAAGGTACCTCTCTTTTCCTCTTAGACTAGGCATTATCCTGTCTTAGTTTAGGGGTTGCAGAAGTAAGAATTCTGCATTTACCAATTTATGTAAATTGAGAGTACTGCAAAGTGGTTAACTATTTAGACTCAGGAACAACTCAGTTCTCAGTACAAATACTTACTGCAAACCTTTGATACAAATATTTTCTATGATTAGGAGGGTCCCTAAAAGCTAACAAAAAGTAACCAAGAGCTTTGGAGAGTAACAGGGCAGTATGCTCTCTGATGCTATCACAGCCCATACCTGTGAGACACGCAGAATAAGTATAATTTATAAATAAGAAAACTGCCAGCCAGCCAGCCTATGGTCAGTGGCTTGTAAATGGAAGAGTCCAAATTAAAACGCAGGAATTTTGTTTTGAAGTTCAAATTTCTTTACCTAATGCCACCCTCCCCCAACCCCTCACCCCATTCAGTCACCTAGAATTTTGCCTTCGGGTATTAATCCAATTTCTCCTTAGGAGATGGTGGCCATCTATTTCCTATTCTGGCATGGTGAAATGAACATGAGATTTGAAATCCAAAGACCTGACTCTGCTTCAGTTATCTTCCTATGTACAGTGTTGGACGTAACACCTAGACATCCTGGGTTCTAATCCCCTCAACAAGAACAAAAGGGGGTTTTGCCGAAGTCAGGTAAGTTCTAGGACTGCAAGAGGTTATATAATGACATATGATGATAATTATATGCTAGTATTTATTTAAAAGTAACAAAGTTCTGGTACTCTGTAAAGCACTATGTATTCATTTTTTAGATGAATCATTCCAATGACTCCCAAAGGAAAGAGATTATAATTTTCCCCATTTTAAAAACAAAGACACTGACATAATAAAGAGGTTAATTTGCCCATGATCATTTAATATGTGCTAAATTAGGTTTAAAAATTAGACTGTATTTTTGTATTGGCTGATAATGCCTTAAGATAAACCTCTCATAGTATATTTAATGATTGATTCTAGAAGCACCAAACCCTTCAAGACTCAAGAATTGAAGTTAGAATAATATATAATGTTGAAATTTGTGGTAGAGTAATAACAAAATCATATTTTCCATAATACATCACTTGTGGGCCCAGCCTGACTCCTGTGGTCAAATGTAATATATAGTATTTCTGGACAAAGAAAGAACATTCTCTGTACTATGAAAACTCTTAGACAGGAAATTCTCATTTATAATGTCAAAAGGTGTTTTATCACATCAAAAAGGAAAACAGTTGTGGAAAGGTTGTAAAGAGAAAGATTTTAACATCACTATTACTATAGGCTTTAATACATTTTATTTTTTTCATCAAATGATATAAAAGTGCAATGTTAGACTCATCTAAAATTACTTTAAAAAGAGAATATATTTACCGTTTTTCTGTGAGCATAAGGAAAATATTCAGTTTCCTTATATATCAAAATCTAATTTTTCTTAAGACTTTGAGTGTAGGTTTGTTTAACGAAGTTTACTGTTGAGACTACTAAAAACAGTGTTTTCCAAATGTACGTATTTAGGTCAGTTTGAGTCAACAGACATTATGCATGAGGAACAACTGTAACAGAATGACAGTATGACATTTAAAACCATGTGTTTAGTGGCAAATGTGCCTTACAGAGCCTTTAAACAATTAGAATCTTTTGTAAGGAAAAGAAGGGACACCGATACAGAGCCCTACCACTAACCAGAACACAAACAAAAAGAATTCTATTGTTAGAACTAAGTCAATGCATGCAGAAAATATCTTTTGGCATCCTTTTTAACCTATAATGAAAAGTCAGATATTCTAAATAGTAATAAGTAATGAAAAACAACTTTTAAAAAAATGAAGCTATTTATAGGCCAGGAAGTCTGTGTCCCAGAATACCATCTTAACTGGCTGATGAATAAAGGTGAAATGGTAAAATTAAATCAAAACTGTTTTCTTTTTGGCATTGATATTATAGCACCTAAGGTATGTGATAACTTTTTCCCATTTCTTGAAATAAGTTTGATTGGCCATTCCAAGCTAGTATTTCAGTGTACTAGATGAAAATACTTTAAAATAGCATCTGATATCAAAAGTAAAGTCAAAGAAAACAATATGAATGGTCTGTTGTTTATGTTTCTTATAGACCTTTGCGAACAATGGAAGTGTTAAGAAGAGAATAAGCAGAAAACAAAACTTGACTTACCACAAATGAATCCAGTAGTGAGGTAAAGCCCTATTACGCTGGTACTAAAAGAGGCTGTGACCATTCCCAAACAGCATAATAAACCTCCTACCATCACCACTGGTCGGCTACCATATTTATTCACCAGAACACTACTTATGGGACCTGTGGTAGAGAGGAAATTAAGAAACATTCAGTTGCTGGGTCATTTACTTATTTATTTTTAACAGCTGTTAATTTTGAAAGCACATTTTAATGATAAAAGAAAAATATTAGTCCACATAGAATGAAGACTTTTCAATACTTCCTAATCACTTTGATTGGTTATCTTTAACCATATATATGACAACACATAAAATAATAAAATTAGAACTGTTCAACATATAGTTTATGACCATAATCATTTGACTTTTGATGGAAAAGATTTTCAACAGGATTTGGCTATACTATCCAAATACTTAATAAATGCAGGCAAATTTATGTAACAACAATCTAGAGATTATAAAAATGACTTGTCTGTGTTATAATTTTATTTTCTAGAATAATACATAAGCACACAGCCAGAGATCCTCTTAATTAGAGCTTAAATTGTTTTTTTCATTATACCACAGTATGACTTTTCTTTAATACCGTATTTCCTTGATTCTAAGATACCAACTGTTCTCATATATTATGTTAGAAGTAAACACGTCTCATATTTGAGGTCTGTTAAACAATCCCTGTTTATCAGGTGGGGGTCATAGGTAGCGATGGAGCTATCGCCGCTATGCATGCTTGAATTTGGTTGTTATTTCTGTGGCTTGGTTGGACAACAGCAATTCCTCATTCAATCAAACAATTTAAGGGCCATTTGAAGGAGGAATCTGAATACGAACACTGACTATTGTTTAAAAAACCTTCTAGTCTTATGTGTGAAAGATGAACACTGAGAACTCAGACTCAAAAACTAATTCAGGGGAGCCAGACACTGAATGGGAAGAGGTTTTAGGAATGCTTTATTCAATTTATTTAATGTACATTTCCCAATGCATGCGTGTGGGGGGGGGTGTGTGTGTGTACATATAAAATGCAGGAGTGATTAAAATTATTAAAATCATCTACGTTTCACTGTGTCTAAAAAAGCTCTTTTGGTAGTTATAAGATAAAACTTCTAAATATTAATAAAGTATGTTTTATTTTAATCACTTTTTTTTTTTAGTGGTGCAATATAAAATAATGGTGCAACTTAACAACTGAGAGCATCTTAGATTCAGCGAAAGCCCACACTATTTTATGAAACCTATCAATGTGTAAATAGTTTGATTTGAAACGTCTTTCTTAACTTAAAATTATATTCCATCTAAAACAAGGGCTATTGCTTTGAGGGGAAAATATTACATTAGGTCAAAATTCTCAGTCCAATATTCAGCCTAGAAAAAATTTAAATGATTTTTAGCTAATACTGTAACTTAAAAAAACTTGCTAAGTGCAATTTACTGCATTTGAGAATTTCTACATGGATATATTTAAAATACATTGAGATTCATTTGTCAATGCAGCTTTATTCTTTCACACAACTGTAGTTATTGTTTTTATTCCTTAAATATAAGTTTGAAATAAAAACTTCATGGCCTAATACTACTCCACAATGTTTTGAAAACTAACTGGTAAAAAGACTTTTTTTTTTTTTTTAAAGATGTAATGTGACAAAAAGAACTCAAAAATAGAATACCACTTTTGCATTTAATACCCCCCCCCAAATAAACTAAAAAAGACCATATGAAAGATAGATCTATAAACACAACGGAACTGGGGGGGGGAATCAATGAAAATTGTTCAAGATAATGTGAAAATAATAGATTTTGGTCCCTAATATGGTAAAAACTCATAGGATTTAGGAAATGAGCATTTTCATTAAAAAGCACACAGCTAAATTCAAATTGTTTTTGTGAAAAACAAATTGATTGGCTTTGATTAATTATTCAACTTAAGTGTGGGTTCCTTTTCTTAAAATTACTTAACAGTTCATTTTAATTCAATTCAGCTGAAATCAGTTCAATGCACTATTTCTTGAGATTCTAGTATAAAACCAGTTGACACATGCCAAAATAAAATAACAAAAACACAACTATAATCATCAACCTATTATAATACAAAGGGAGAAATTATAAAGTTATTTTAAGAACTGTAATGGATGCTTTGATATACACTAGACTATCAGAATGAATCCAAAGGCATTTACCAATTACTTGGACTAATAACAATTTTCTCAGTATCATTGCTATTATGTATACAATTTTCTATGTGATGCCTGGATAACTCACAAATGTACTAATTACTAAATTTATAAATGTGTTTGCTTAAATGGTGTAAATTTAAATTTGAACATAGGCGATGAATCACAACTTAATTTTCAATGTGGGGCAAATAATTATATCTATAGTTTAGGATAATCACATCAAGGCTTCTTTTTCCATGACTGTGATTAAGAGAGGCAACTAAAGAAAACATTTGGAGGTGCTGACTTTTTTTTTTTTTAAGAGACTGATAATTTCTACTGTGATAACTGTCAAGATGCAATGAGAGTTCTAATTTTAACAAATTATTTTACTTTAAATAATATACTTTAGTTAAGTGATAACCTATTAGACAATCTATAAGGGATATATTTACATAATTCATCTATAATTTTTTCTAGCAAAAAAGATATAATTTTTAGGTTGATTTCTCTAGAAATCAAAGCTTAATCAAACCCTTAATATGAAATACATATAAAATGTCATAAAATATTTCTACTTTGTAATAGTTATAGATCTAATTAAAATTATGATATAGAACAAAATATATTTATTTTGTAAAGAATCTTTAAATGCTTAACATTAGCTTGAGGAGGCATCTAACATCAGATATAAAACACAACGCTACCCAATACCTCTCTCTCTCCAACATACAAGCAGCTTGGTATATTGTATTAACAAGAAAGATAGAGTTCCAAGAAAATAAATAAATTCTTATCACATATGATTTCTGTTAAACATGAGCTAGCCTCACAGCTGTCCCTTGTTGATGAATTTCAGGCCTAATTATATTCTGATTTATCTATTAATTTATTTATCTATTCATTTATCTATTTATCATTTATCTATTAATTTATCTATTATTTCATTTATCTATTAATTCAATCAGGATGGAAGTTTCTACTCAGCATATATTTTTCAAGTAATCATGATGTTTAATCATTAGATAAGTCAGAAATTTCTCTACCTGCTGAGAGTTATATCTGAGCCCATTTCTAAATAGAGCAAAGGTACAAATGCTTTGTTCTATATATTTGTTGAGCAGTTAAAAAAAATGATGTGCAAGAATCCTATTGCCTTATTTCCTAAAAAACGTTCATACAAGTATCAGGCTATATCTAAACCAGACTGATCTACCCACTAATTTCTTCTGCTCCAGCTTTCCAAACTATCTTGGAATTTTTAGTGTCAAGCTTAATAGTCACTTTCATGCTGGCCGTGAAGCTGTAAAGGAGAACTTCATCAGAGAGCAGTTTAACGATCACAGTGTCGTCACCCATACTTCAGCTTCATTTTCTCAAAGCTACTTCTGTCCTTTATGGCCATGGCTCCATAATACTTATTCTGGTGAGGAAGCTTATGTGCATTCTTACAAATTACAGAGAGTGCCCATTCTTAGAACTCCTGCTGTATTATAGTTGGTCACACACACACACACAAACACACACACCCCACACTTATAAATCCTGTATTTCATCTGTTTGAGTCTTGTCCCTACATCTTATTCTAAGTTCTATGATGGTAGTTGCCATACATACTATTATTATAATTATTCATTAATTTATTGAGTTATTACTCTTTGCAGGCAGTGTGCTAAGAACTGTGCATGCATTACTACATATTATTTTTGTGGAAATCTGATCATTAGAGCAATGTAACAGTTGATAAAACTGAGACATGCCAAGTGTTGATAACTTGTTCAAGGTCACAACAACGTAAGTGGTAAAATGTGGACAGCAGCCAGGGTCATTTGATTATAAAAACTTGTACTTTTCACTACTGTGTAGAAAATAATTAACATATCAGATGTGAGGCTTCCATCCTCAGAAAGGTCTGCTTGCAAGCCTAGCTCTTGGTTGGCACCTGGGAACTTGGGATTTCAGAAGAGTTTCCTAATCGATAAGAGTGGCTCAATGTGCCTGAACTGTTTCACAACGTGGTTTATGCTGAACATTTGCCTTCCTTCCCAGAGTCTGTTAGCCAGCAACCCAACAGAAACCTCAAGCTCTGAGTCCCTAATGAGCTTCCTGATAGACAACACTTCACCTACATTGTCACAACTAGTTGCTGGATTAAGCCCATCCTTTGTGATTCCATTGGGAGAGGACTCTTGGAAGTTTACATTTGGTTTCTCCTGTACTTCGATCCATGTGCTTTGGCCATTCCTGATACTGTTTTGCATTCTTTCATTGTCTTAAGTCATAGCCATGAAAAAAAACATTGTTGAGTCCTGTGAATCTTTCTAGTTAACCATGAAACCTGAAAGTGGTCTTGGGGATTCTGAATACCATTACTACAGTGTATCTTTTCTAATTTCAAGTTTTACATATAGTTATAAGCAAGTGGTTTTTTTTGTTGTTGTTGTTAAATATTTTAGAAATGTATGGCATATATATATATATGAATTAGTCTATTCCTTTGTATATTGTTATTCTGTTCTGTAAACATGAACTCATAGTGCTTGTTTTTATTTCCATTGTATATGGCAAGAGTATATGACAAATGCTGGGAGAAAATCTGGAGAATATGTTATGTAATGAACATTTCATAAAATATATTTGATCAATCTAAAACCATGAACTGGAATTGAGTATCAATTTGAGCTATATAAAAGTTTTATGCATAGCATAAACACTAACAGAAGAATGATAAACTGCTATAATTTATTTTTCATTTGCTTTATTTCAAATTTGTATATGTGGTATCCTGTCAAATCAAATGATAAAAAGCACTAGTGCAGGACTGGGAAAAAATTGTTTGCAATTACAGAAATTTATCTGTGTTTACTACTGTAGTATTTTTCTTACTGACAGGAGCTTTCAAAATTTGAAAGAATTTTTGAAGAGATTTTTTTGGATTAAAAAACTGCTGCTATTTTAATTTGGACAG